AAATGTCCATAGTTACGTTACTGAAATCAGGTGGCGCTTGCTCCGGGTGAGAGGTCCAACCGTGCTTTTTGTTGGCCGTTTCTACGCCGAGCACAGGATCACGGGGTAGAAATTCAGTTGCTTGTTATGTATATTGCCGAGGTACAAGTATTGCATCCAACTACTGGCAGGTGAAGAAACAAAGCTGGGCAATATCTCGCCAACGGTACGCTGTATCACACGCCGCGGGCTAGAGATTTCTCTCCCATGGCGAGATGGAGAGACGTTCTACAACTGTGGAAGCAATACCCGAAAGGAAACCAGTTACAGGCACAGGAAGAAAGATATTGGAAGCTAAGACCACCTTCCGAGGTTCCTGCAGCGATCCATTTGACGGGGTCCAATTCGTATGGCTTTCGGCTTTCTTCGGCCCTGATTTTGCGATGTCGGAAAGATCAAAGAGAGTCTGCCGCATCCAACTACGATCATGGCAGCATCCTTGGTGATACAGTCAACGCAACGAGAGTTGCTGGGAAGAACCTCACCACTCTGACAAGTATGGATGCAACGCCGCAACCTTGCACATTCGTGCTTCCCGTAGACTGGAAACGATCCAGGCATGCAAGCACGAGAACTTATTTATTTCGCCCTCGCATCATTTGGCCCGTAAATTGACAGCTGGCCCGTTTACTACATCTCTCTCAAAGAGTCTCCAGAGTTGGGACCATTGCATATACATTTCAAACAGATGCTCAAAACTTTCTTCAAGTTTGGGTGACTTGCTTAGCACCTGTGATCCATCCGTTCCGTCTTCCTCGTTATTATGCACTCATCAAAGGCCTTCTGGTTCAAAAATGGAGCGAGTGCTATTCACGACGGGGACATATGGGTTGCCCGTGTCACCTATAATATTGCACTAAGAAGTAGGAGGAAGTGATCTTTCTGACATCTCACATGGCATCGAAGTCTTTCCTAAACGAGCAATATGACGAGATCTAGGCTCAAACTTTAGCCGAGCAGAAAGAAGACAAAGAAACATAATACTAATCGACACGGTCTCGAGCACCCAGTCAGGCACTAATGCATACTCCACCGATCCATCACCCGAGCTCCCGTCTGTTGCTACGTCTTTCACCTTCCAACAAGTCAAATCAATCCCTGGGGGATCTGAATTCTACTTCTGGACCCTACCTGACTGCATTACCCGTTCAAGAAAGAGACGTCTGACATCGACGTCATTAAAAAGGGCATGGCCCCATCTAAACCCCAAAAAGGATGGACTGGACCCATAAGAAAAAAAAAAAAGTCTTGCATGTCACCTCGCATGACGGTGAGGGATTGGTGGCCTTGTCACGAACTATACCCTTGGCACACCTGAATCGTGCATGAACATTCCTACCGTGACACGAGTCTATGTTGTTTTAGGCAGCCAAATTAGCAATCATTCGGATTGTACAGATCTTAACCAAGTACAGGCCAGAGGAATATGCACCTACTAACGAGAACGATATGTAAGATAGGGTTGGCTTTATGCAGAAAGTTCTTTTGAGATGCTTTTAGGTAGCATTGTTGTGTTACTATAGGCTATGGAGCACTAGAACCCATCTAGTTTACCGCTATGGACCTCACAAGTAATTTTACTCCCATCTCAAATCGCAGATGGAAAGAAGAAAAGAGGAGTAGGCCCTTCTTTTGACCGTTCATAAAAGAGAGACGTGATTCTAGAAGGAATTCTTCGTGATTGAGTCTCTATGGAATCGAAGCTCACATGTCAGACTGCGTAAAAATTAGGTTGGACACGCAAAATTGGATCAACAAAGATCTCTAAGATTCCCCCCAAACATTTCGAAAATTAAAATCTGTAAATAGTTCATTACTTAAATTGTTAAATAACCAAATGAATTAGACCAGGAAAATCCCTGGTTGACCCAAGAACCGGGAAACGGAAATGATGAATTACTGCATCCATAGACCAGGAATGTGTTTCCACCGATCTGGAGCAATTCCTCCGACGCTAGGGTCTACGGGTCTAAAAGTGTATGCAAGAGGCCAAAACTATGTGTCCCCCCTCTCCAAATTCCCCTTTTAATGGCAGAGTTTTGAGAGGACCAATTACCCGCATTTTGGACCAGTCATTTTCCCAATACCTGGTTGCCTGCGAGATCCGATGATCTGCATTCCTTCATGCACGATCTCTGAACTCGTGGATGGGGCCCATGAACATGGCAGGACGATTGTGATTTCAATTCCTTTCTATTCCTTTTTTTCTCTTTGTTAGCTTGTGAGGACTCGAATTGAGAATTTTGATGAAACCTGGACGTTCCGATTATTCCGAGTTTCAGCTGAGACCCCAAAACGATTCACTTAGCTAATCAGGTTGAAGACCCAGAAAGACACTCATTTGATGATCACCTCTACGGCGCTCTGTTCGCTATTGGGGCCCAATGAGGAGAGAATTTGAGGGACTCCAGTTTCTACTTATTCGGGTCTCCCAGAGCTTAAATTGTGCAAGACAAATCTTGCGAATCAAAATTCAGTCTCGGGAGATCCAAAGCTCCGAGGCTGACTCCATTTTCGGCAATTAATAATTAATTCTCTGTTTTAATTTCAGATTGGAAGAGATCTTCCTTTTTGATGGGTGGATCGAATTTTATGCAATACGGGGGGGGGGGCAGAGAACATCCGACATACCTTAGGGCCCGAGGTGACTGCGGTGCTAATTTCGGTTCTTAAACTTCGAAATAAACTCGGGTGTCAGACGGGTTATTATAGGGGTGATAATATAGGGCTAGACTCCGTGTTCAAGATTGACAACGTATTCAATCTGATCGTATTCTGACCCTTTTCCTTAGAGCACATTGTACAGGATTCACCAGGAACATCTCCAATCACTGAAAAATCGAAAAAGAAAGAAACTCCATTACTACGACTTGATTGGCTGACTGGCACTGGGCTGGATCATACTCAACTTGCGTCTAATCCAGGGATCTCTCGACATGACACATTATTGAATTGTCAGAATGTGACTAGTTTCTAAAGCGGGTCTGTTAGTGCAATGTGTTGCGTCAAGCTGAGAAACATCAGAATACGGAGTACGGAGTACTCCGTATTCTCGATTTACACCGTGTGGACGCGATACGCGAGGCAATGATCCTACGACCCCAGTTAGCGCAAATTACTCCGTACTCCATTTGCGATCAGTGCCAAGCGAAATATCTCAAATGCGACACACCTGAGAGATATCATATGCGAGCATATCTTCACTCCAATCATATCAACAGCCACCAGCTCACCAACTCACGAGTGCATAATGTGAAAATAGGAGGAGAACAGGAATAAACTCACATCGGTTCGTCGGGTGATCCTTGATCTGACATTCGGAGACAGAAAATAAAACCCCCCAAAAAAAGCCCTAGACGCCACAAGCTCTCGAAGGAAGTGGAGATGTAAATTGAAGAACCCCCTAGACGATCTATCCCTGGAGACCAATACCAGCCCCTCTCCCTTTTGGCTTGGTCGATCAATCACCGTGCCCACCGATGAGAGGCTCTAGGCAATCTGCGATCGATTCGCGGCGTCACCTATGCGGTTTCTGATTCGTCTAAAGGAGATCCAGAACCTCTCTTTCTGTTGCACCCACCATCCGGGTTAAGCTCTCCTCGGAGCACGATCTTTTTGGGACCAGTGACAGCTCTTCTTGGAGCGGCGATCGTTTTCTTCGACTCGGTGTCTGTCTACTAGATCCACCTTGGACTCTTTTTTTTTTCTGGTTGCTTTTTTTAAACCATACGAGAGAGGCTTGGTTGATCTCTTCGGCCTACACCCTCCGGTTGTCTTTTCCTCTTCCATGGGAGTGGATGATACTTCCCTGTCTTCATTTTTGCCACGAACTACTCCTTCTGGAGTATCTCCAGATCCCTCACGAAAAAGCAATGTGGATCTGATTTGATTTGACATGGAATTCAATACAGAATACATGGTAATTAAGTTTTAGCCTGACTCAGGCACATAGGTGAAATTCCTCCCTTACTCCTGTCTACCATCTCCTCTTCCCCAACCGTTCTTACCAAATGGGGTTTTCTTTTCAATCGGTCGTTTATACACACTATCAATTTGTAGTATCCTGCTCCATCTGAATTCAGTTCGGTTTCAAAGGACCTTGGAAGATTTCGTTTTAAGGGATAAAATAGAAACTTTGGCCTATAAGTACTGGCATGAGGATCCCCAAATTTGACGTACACTAGTGAACCACATATACTTTTTTTTAAAAAAAAAATCCCCCCAAAAAAAGGAAAATTTTAATCTGATTTCAATGATCCTTTGAGAAATTCCTTTCACCCGAAATATCCAATCAAACCCCTGGAACTCCTAAAATACCTTTATGATGCCGGGGAGTTCATGAGATAGATCCTGACGCTAAGACTATATTTATATTCCATTGACAACCAAAGAGCCAACCTCAGGGAACCCGCACTTTCTCTTGATTTACGCCTTCTCCGCTATGCCCTAGACACGGAGCGCTGGTACTCCGACTCATGTACCCACCAAACCCACGATCGTCATTTTTCAGCCCCTGTTCTTGCTTTTCCATGGATGTGCAATAGCTGGATGGTTCTTTTTTTTTTTTTAATTATTTTAATACACATACTTAAATGTAGATTTTGGGCCATTTTTTTCAGTTGAAAATAATGTACGGGGCCCTGCATTATTTGGGAAACCGCATTTCCATCTTTGCCCTCATTCCCCAACCTTGCATATAATCTTGGCCTTTCTCATTTTTTGGGGGACCATGTCAACGTAAAATCAGCCTGCTTTCCTGGTGAGTGGTGCCTTGAACACTTTCGCTCCTCATCCCTTCCCCATTGATACCTTTTTTTTTCTGGAGGGTCTATCTAAGAACTACAACCCAATTGATAGTCGATTCTGACTGCGTCCAGTATAGTTCTCTTGTCTTATGCAGTGTGAAACCCTCTGACTGTTGCGAACCCAATCATTCTTGTCTTTTCCCCAACACCTTGTCTATGTCACAGTCCCATGAGGTAGACGAAGATACCAATATGGCTATTTCGTATACAACCCAATCGTCAACCGGACACCCTCATCAAACCCTCCCCTCATTCCGCGAGGTAAGAGATAGAACCCCCAAACCCCCTTTCACTGAGACTACTTGACATCCATATCTAACACCTCCCAGCTCCTCCCTGCCCATCTCCACGATGAAATCGAATCAACCTCCCCATTCTACACTCCTCGCCACTCACAAGACCGCCCACTCTTAAGCCACGAGATGGCCGACCCCCGCTCAATCCCATATGGCAATCCATCCAACCAAATTCCCTACGACTCCCACCGCGAATATACAGTCTCCCGCAGCGCAGACCACCACATGCACCTACCCGAGACCGCATCCCGCGGTCCCAGCCCAATTCTGCCCCCAATCCGCGACCTGGATTCCATCCCCGGCCGCGCTTTGAACCCTTCCAGCAACGGGTTTCCCGAGCGAGTCCCACGCTCCGACCCCTTTGTCACGCAGGAATTCCGCCAGCCCGGGCCGGCTGGAGCAGCCATGTCCGCAGATCCGCGCGGCGAGCACTTTGTCCAGCCTACCTTGCATCCGCAGTCGCCGTTTGGGCACCATTCCATTGGCTACGCGGATGAGCAGATGTCGCCGCAGATGATGGGGCATGGCCAGGGGAACTTCGGGATTATGGGAGATCCAATCGACCCCAAGACGAAGCGGAGACGGGGGAATTTACCCAAGCCTGTCACTGACATTCTGAGGGCTTGGTTCCATGAGCATCTTGATCATCCATATCCTAGTGAAGAGGATAAGCAGATGTTTATGACTAGGACTGGGCTTTCAATTAGCCAGGTGAGCAGTCATCCTAATGGACCGGTAATTGGGTTGTGGTTCGCTAACTTCTCGTTTTGGTTCCAGATTAGTAACTGGTTCATTAATGCTCGGAGACGGCAGCTTCCTGCGCTGCGGAATCAAATGCGCAGTGGTGCGGATACGGAGTCTCAACGACAGTCGCCTTTTAGTGATGTCGATGGATCGGAGCGCATGCCTTCTCCTCATCACTAGAATGGCGATGAACCTGGACCTGGAGGTTCGGGTTTGATCACGGCCTATACATTTTTTTTTCATGTTTACCCTTCAAAGGTATACGGCATTCGGAACGTTGGCGTTTCATTCAATTTACGATTGGGGAACTTCATATCCCTACCAATTACGAGTCACGGGGTCGAGGATACGGCGAGCTTGATAGACTGGCATTTTCTTTCTTTGATTTTCATCTTGTTTTTTTTGGTCACCCTTTCTCGCCTTCCAGGTCTCTAGGCTCACACTACATGATGCGTTGCCGTCTGGTACGGAGACTTTAGTCCGACATTATATTTTGATACCCTTTTATCTTTGGTCGCTTTTACCAAGCGGGACTTTGTTTGGTTGGAAATCAACAGGCAAAAGGGGTATATGACAAACTATGGCATTGGCAATTACCTTGGATCATTCCTGTGATTTGCTCTACTTGATGTTATTCTTTCCACTGCATGGAGTGTTTTGGACAAAATTCCACGAAAATTGCATTGCTAGGTGTTTAAAAGGATCTCTCGACTTTCAAATCTACACGAGACTTAATTTTTATTTTTATTATTTTTTTTTCTTTTCTGGTTACTCTTTTTGTTTCCAATATTTGTCATTTCTCTTTAAGCGCCATGCGAAACGTCCAGCAACATGGAGTCCGCAGCCAGATCTCAGCTGTCCACCGCGCAGCCCGTCTCCACTTCGTCTCCATCGACACTAACCTATCCATGTTCTTGCTCAATGCGCAAACGTGGGTCATATCTTACTTTCGGCTTGCAGTGCCATTTTTCAATTTTTTTTTTTCTTTCGGTGCTGATGATGGTCCTCCACGGTCTTGCGAGCCTGGGGCTGGTATGGATATGACCAGAAGTAGTTGGACCTTTATTCGACCAATCCATTTTCTTTGGCCAGCTCCCTGAAGTCAGGAGTGGTTTCAGGTTGGAAGGGGACTCAACCGTGGTTTCAACTGTCCTTCCATTTCAAATTGATAGACCCGTAAGCTAGAAATTCTGTAACAGTACTCCGTGCTCCACCTGGAAATGTGTCAAGATCTCCATCACATTTTGGTTTCATGACGTCGACTTACCAATCATCAACTTTGTCCCATGGTCGAATAACCTTTCGTTCTCGTGGGGACCGGTTAGAACGGTATGATCGGTTCTGATATTACAACAAACAAATTTGCATTTTGAGTCTCACTCTTATAGGATGGTCAAGGTCCTAACTTCCAAGGGTTAAGGAATTCCAAATTGAACTGACAGCTACATGGAGCCTAACGTCACCTTCAGTTGGTCCCCAAGTCCACCATTCTACCTACCAATCTACCAATTTCACAGTGACCACTTTTAGGCCGAACTTCTGTTTACTTTGTCCCACGTGACGATCCGACTGCCAAAACGGGGTATATGCTCGGGGCTTTTTGGCCTTTGGCAACCCGTAGCATTTTTTGTGGCGATTTTACGAGGCTTCACGTTAACATGGAGCTGAACCTATCAATTATTCGCAATACTACTGAATCACAGATCGCTTCGTGTGGAATGTCGACTCTCATCTCGCCCCTTTAGGAGTTTCTGTGTAGTTTATCAGCCTCGGATTCTGTTCCGGCCCGAGACTGGATTGGGCGAAGTTGGGAACTGAGATAATGGGATTTTCTTGGAATCACATCACGCTACTAATATAACATATCGTACCTGCTGGTAGAGAGATTTGGATGTCTGCAGTTCGGCCTGTTTTCTGGATGTTTTGGGGGGGGGGAGGGATCTATTTCCCGTCCTACACCTGATGACACCGAAAAACTTACTTGGCTGCAGATCTAAGACTTCGATACTGCCGAGTAAAAAAATTGAATCCTTTGCAGGGTTGGTTACAATTTACGATGGAGAGGGATTACCACCGCTTGGGAGTATGTACACATATCCATAGTTCAGACTCCAGTTAGGAGACTGCAACCCACTTCCGGGATAGTTGAATTCCTGTTGCAAAAATGATATCCAATGCGCATCCCACAAACGAAAAAAAAGAAAAGAAAAAAAAAAAAGAGCGATCAGGGTTACATTTGACATCTATCTACTCCTTCTTCTGTAGGCTATAATACATGATTCTGCAAATAAGTAGATGGCAACAAGATGCACCCCTAGAAAACACGACGTGTCTCGACTCTATTAAAAGAACATCCCAACAAAAGCAAGCCTCACATACCCATCCTCTCAAGATTCAACAGATAGGATCTAGACGGACAGGGGGGAACCCCGTAACCTAGTCCCACAGCAGTGGGCAGCGGATATGCAAGCCATCAGTACAAGCCCCGGTATCCAGTGTATCCAGCAATTCGGACCATGACTGGCCGATCTAGAAAGCAAATACGCAAGAAAAGTCGTGCAGCATGCATTCA